ACATTTCGGGTAGAGTGGGGCACGGCTGGCGAAGCTCGGAGACGTTCTCAGGTGAACGGCTACATGCACGGCAGAAAAATTTCCGCTGAAATCAAAAGAAACTCTTCATTTACGCCATTTTAGTATGGTGGAAATAACGAAGTGTAAGATATTAAATTTGGTTTAAAGCTTAGGAAGCAATTTAAAATGAAATAACATATGTATTATTAAAGAATAACTCCAGTGAAAAGTGTGTAATTACACGTTAATTAAATTCTCTCCTTATCATATCTGCAGTGCCTCAAAACGATGTTTTCCCTCCATGTATTCTCCTTCTAGCAAAATTTCCTGAAATAAAAACCATAGGTGTAAAGCAGAAACTGTTAAATATTTCACAACTGGAAAAAGGAAGGAGAATGAAACTACAGCGATTTTTTTTTTTTAATTAGGATTTCTATTCAGAAACAAACTGAACTTCAACATGTTTTAACTACACATCCCTCTGTTTATAATCTTCTGCTTAAGTCTAAACTAAACAACAACACTGGCAGAACACAGCAAATTTGAGGAACTGGGATGAACTATTTCTAGGTAAATGTTAACAGAACCATTTTCCTTTATACAAAAATAATTACGTTCAGGCAGGGAGCCAGCCTTCTGTGTGCGCCATCCCCTACCGTCCCATTTCTGTAAAACTCAACGTCACCTTTCTTATCTGGCTATTTAGGACTTTTTAATTTCTCTGTTCTCAAAGCATAAGCTTCTTCTTGCATTTGCAGCTTTGCATTTATCTCTGCCTGTAAAGAAAATCAGAAGAAAAAAAGTGGTTACGAGGGAGCTATCTCGGGCTGCACATTGTCCTTGTGGTTTTGACACACTGTAGTGCAGTAAGACAGACATTATCCTACACACCTTCCTGTTTTGCAGACATAACGGTGTTTCAGCCTGTACGTACGTGATAACACTTTATCGCCTTACCGGGCCCAACCCCAAGGTAGGGTAGGACTGCCACGGCCAGGAAGTGATCTGGGACAGCCATTCCTCATGTCACCTCGTCCTGGGAGATAGGCTAATTTGCCTGTATGCTCAGACAGCCTTTACCAATAAACACCAAATCAGAAAAATTGCTTTGGGATTTGGTTGTTGCCACTGTTTTCCTTTGCTGCAGATGTTTGTTCTCTAGTGTAATACATTTTATTGAAACGCTGCCGGAATTAGAAAGCATTACTGAAAATGAACAATAAAAAAACAAACTTCTGTAATGTTGCTTGTCCTTCTTAATCACAAACACAATTATGAATGTGTATCTCATTCTGGAAATCCAGACTGCTGTAGACACTGAGTGTTTAATTTGCAAAGTAAGGTTTGTGGGGAAGGTACAAGGGTTGTGATGTATTTTAGTGAAATCCTTGGCAGTGATAACGCATAGCAGTCTTTAATTCTATAGCATTTGGAAATGTGGGATCACTAGAAAAAAGGCCACAAATACTGGGGGTTTTATGGGGAATTTACGTATGTTGCTCAATATCAGCATTCATCACTTCAAAAACACACGAGAAATGGAAGGAGTACGACAGCCTTTCCAAGAGTTGCAAAGTTTTGTTCAAACAACTGGAACAGGCTCAAAGGTCCTTTACAGACTACACGTAAACTGATCCAAAACTTTGAATTGCATTCTAATGGACTTCAAGTGACTTTGATAAAGTGAATAGATTTGACCCAGAAAAGCTTGCAGTAACTTGCCATTTTAGGAACTTTTTGGCTTGCCAGTCCTAGAAATGCCTAGTGTTACACTGTGCTATACTGCAACCTATCCATGGACAGCCATAGCTAAAATGTTTCCAAAGTTCTCAGTAGCTCAGACTAGCATTAAAAAGCTGGAATTTCTATCTCAGCTTTGCATCTTTGGAGACGGCCTTCACCATATTCAATCCATCCTCAAGTATCAAGAAGTATGTCCCTCTGCTTCCATACACTATACGTACACTCAGCCACTTTGCTGTGGAACACTGATCCTCCAAGGCTAATCCTTTCCCAGCCACCCCAGCTGCCTTTTCTTCTCCGGTTTTTAAATCCCCCCATCTCTAATTCTATCTCCAGCGAAAATCAGCGACCACCACACTCACTCTGGCTGCTGTTGTGGTCACTGGCTGTCAGCACAGTGATTTCAGATGAACAGTTATTTCCTAAACTTAACTAGAGCAAGAGATGCCTCATGTGCCCTGGAGACGTAACACAGATTGTGAAATCACAGTTCATGCATAACAACAAAATGGTATGAGTCTGATCACGTATCAAGTGAAAATCTCATGGTAAGATTACCTCAGAGGTCAACAAACTGAGAAACCTGGTGAAAAAGATATATTGGCAGAGGGCATTTAAAAACTAAAAGGAAATTATTTTCTGTGTACATTACTAGAGTTGCAAAAGAGGAAGAAAAATAAAAGCATTTTTCTCATCTCTGCAGTATTTGTAAAGAAAATAAGCTCTTAGCATGGATGCTGATGACATCAAGGTCAAGTGAAAACCATGCGTTTCATTTGTTCTGTAGGTAGGGCCAGGAATAAGACAACATAGGCCAGGTTCCCTCACGTTTCTGAAGACATGTTGAAATGGAATATGAAATCAAATAGGTAGATCTAATGACGGCATCATTATTCCAATTTATATTCCTTATTCATACATAATCCATGTAAAGTAATTTATCAATATCACTCTATTTTCAAACAATATTAGATATTTCATAAGCTGCTGCTCGGTCAGTAGTGTCCGATGTGCTGCACTGAAAGTTTAAGGTGCCTAATGCCACCTGGTTGTTGCAAACAAGACCAAATTCCACCAGTTCCTGGGCGGAACAGAGTTCTAGCTGCTTTGCTTTCAGTAATTTCATAGGCTTGAGGGAGTAGTTTACAAAATAACAATGATCTACTCTGCTGGCTTTCCACATGTTTCAATTTATAGACCTCCCTGTAGAGAGGCAGATCACCCTACAACAAATTTAAGTCCTCTGACAATAGCTTCCTTCCCTTTCTTGAACCCACAGAAAGAGCTCATGGACTCCTCAGAGTCTGCAGAGCTCATACTGAAACCTGATCTGATCCATTAAGGCAGCTCTTGTATAGTTATGCACCTACCAAATGAAGTCTAGAATTGGCATAAATGTGTTATTTCTTACACAGATTAAAGGATGTGGAACACAGATGCGTCTAACGATTTATATTAAGCGCACATTGCATATGCTCCATCACAGCAGTTGATCCTGAACCCCTGAAAAGGAATTTTATCATTGACATCACTGAGAGCAGGATTTGGCCCATGTTTCTTAACACATAGTAATGCTGAAGATATATGTTGTTATATTACTGAATATTTTTTATCTTATCACTTGTAAGCTGACTAAACTAGGAGTTATTTATAGAGGCTAATTCACATTTTTACAGCATATGGATGTGCTTTTTGCCAGCTTTAGCATGAATACAGTTTATATTCATTAAGGCTGAGCTAGCTAATTAACCATAGACAGAATTAGTGAATAGCTTTCTAGTAATAGTACCTCAAGGCTGCCAATAATTTCATTTGGGATTTCACCTACTGCGGACTTCTGATCTTCAGCAGTGACACCAGCCACAGCATCTGCCTCCACCTCTGGACAGGGCTCTTCTAGGTAACCCTCTTGATCAGAACCCTAGCAGCAACCAACCACAAGAAATACGTGAGTTAGAACATCCCCCCACTCTCTACAAGACCAAACAGCATCCACCCAAAGACATGCAACAATACTCGAAGCCTGCTGTTGAGAACTTCTGCTCTGACAGAGACCGTCAATGCCTCTCGTTCACTGCCCAGGCCTGGCAGATCCTGAGGTTATGAAGTCCCATTGGACAAGAGCCCAGAGGTGCTGACTTGGATGTCCTGTGTTGACCGATTAATGCAAGAAAAGCAACTTCATTCAATCTTAGACGAGAATGCATGCTGTGTTCTGGGGAATAAATATCATTAGTGACCAGGCTCCAATAGGAATAAATGAGGTAGGAGACTCATAGAAAAACAGCTTTAAAAAAATAAAACAGGAATAAAACTCTATACCTTAGATTCTTTCTCTGCAGCTGTTGGTGATATTGTGACTGACGAACAGATATCCGAAGGTACGCCTTCTTCCAGCAGAGCAGGGAAGGGGGGAACTTCAGGTTGGGCAAGTTCAATCACATACTGGCAGTATTAAAAAAAACCCCAAAAAACCAATGTAATTCAGGTTTAATTATTGCTCAGAGGTTTATTGCAGATTTTTTTAAAATGGAAATGAAATGGCTGGCGAACAGCAAAAAACAATACCTTTTTTGTTACTATCCAGGTGCTCAGAACTGGAAAGCATACTGAAAATGATTATAGATCAGCTTTAATTTCCAGCTGCATTTCAAGGGGCCCTCTTTATAATACTTGGAAAGAACAGATGATTTTCATAATTTCATAACACTACAGCTTCTTACTCATGTGGATAATTAAGTTTAGAAAACACAGAGCTTAGGTAACATGCAGTCTTCCCAGTGCAAATTCATCACTTCTGAACAGGGATCTTGTTGCTTTTTGGAATTAAAGGGCCCAACTGACCATCAGGGTGTTCTTTTCAAAGGAGTCAGCTGGAATAAAATTGTAGTGACACTGCATCAAATAAGGCCTTAAAAAAATGTGTGACTATAATTTAAGAATTGCTAACAGTCCAAGTTTTGCTGCTTCGTCAGCTTGCTCCCATTTCTCTTTCCCGTGAGCATGGGAACCACACTGGTATTCTGCTGGCGTATGAACTGTGTGGCTCCAGGAATCATCTGACAAGGAAATGACCTTTCTCCCCTGGAGTAGCTGGATGTAGCACTCGGTCCTTGCTTGGGCTCTCATGAGTGATGCAGGAGATGGCCCTGAGTCCTCTAAAGGCACAAGGTTTTGTGTCATTTCTTTTAAAAAATGGATGGCAGAGAACACTCATGCCAAATAGGGTGACAAAAAGGCATTTTTTGAACTAGCAAAGAACAGGGTATAATACCCTGGTACGTTTGGGCCCTCTACAACAAGATGTGCCCACTGAGAATATCAGGCAGATGTTCCAGTTCTGAGTCAGCTATTACAAACATGATTTTGCTTGGATGGTGTAAGTCAACGACATTAATTCACATCATGGTAATTGCAGCTCCCATAAATTAATTCCCTCATACCTTTGAAATCATAGCTAGGTTGAGATTTGGTTTATTTAGTTACTTGCTATGGTTAAACATGCTGCGAATACTAAAGGTTCTATACATTTGCAAAAGTGATAGCAAAAATTGAAAATAAACAGTGGCACATAGCAATTATACTTTACTGCATTACAAATCTCTTTTGTAGTCCTAAAAGGTTTTCAGAAGTTATGTTTGGACTCTGTCATTATCTTGAAGATTCCCTGTCATGTGTGAGCTTGCTAAAAAAGGTAGACAGTATTAGCCTATGTTTATAAGAACCCAAAAGGCTGACAGAAGGATTTCCAGAATTTAAGTGAGGAGAATATCAGATTTTATAGAAGCATTTTTCTGTATCACTTGAGACTCAAATTTTACAGCACTGTGCCTACAGACTTGCAAAAGGAATAGTCAGGAAGCTTAGTTTTTGCATCAAAATGAAAAAGCCTTAAGTGAGAGCTAAATGTTATTCTTTCTAAAATACAAGCAAGCTTTATTTTAAAATTCTATTTTCTTTTAAACTAGAGCTCTTTCAGTTTAGCAAATATTTCCATTTTCTCTGATTTCTTACCTTATATTTTCTTACTAAAAATATTAGCTGAATTGGATGAGAATTTACAATTACTCTCTTCTTCTTTAAAATAACATTTTTTGGTTAGTTAGTTAACTGTTCACTCAAAATATATATTTTTATTTAGATTAAATCATTATTCCATTTATTTCCTCCAGTCCAAGTTTCAAAAAATGAAATAATGTAAAAAAATAGACTGGGTTTTTAAAATCAATTCCTGGCTGATCAAATACATTTCTGCAGCACGGATAAGATTTTCAGATGTGCTTTTTTATAATAATATTTTTCCTTCACTGTGTCCTTTTAAAGAGAGCCATTCTTTACTCATCTGTTCCGTGTCTAATAATAACCCTTGATCACTAAGAAATAACTAAATTACAGCAGAACTAGTCACTTTAATGAGCCATAATAGTCTCAACATTCAGTCAAAAGTTTTTTTAAAAGATTGTGAAACTTCAATGTAGAATATGAAGTATTTTGTTTAGTAATAATAAGTTTATGAGCAGTACTACAGTTTACAGCCAAAATATAGTGACCTAGAAATGCCACTCTGCATTGCTCCTTCCTATGCATTGTGTCCTTAACAAGTCCAGGGGAAAATTAGAACGAATGAATTGTGGTGAGAGCCCGAAGCCAACAAACGTATTTAAATGAATCCTTCTGATGCAATACTTTCCTTTAAAAAATACAATTAAGTCCTTGTATTTCCTTTGAACAAAACCTCATGTTTAATAGCACCAATGGCTCTGTAGTAAAAACTATTTAAAAGCAGAGAAGGAGACACAGTAAGTTTTATACAGTTACAGTAGCTTTAAAAAAGTGCTGCTGGTTTCTGAAGTCTGAGTAAATTTATGGTGAATTACTTCCACTGACCTACATTAAAAAATTCATCCTCCTTTTTTTAATTCCTGAAGATTTGTCATTATGTGAGCATTATTCACTATGACAAAGATGTATTACTCAAAGTGTCCTCTTGAATCAATATAACTATCAAAATGTGAGAAAGTTTGGCAAGATCATAATGCCTCAAAATTAATTGGCAATATTTTCCTGCACATTGCAGTCCAATGGGTCCATGAGAATTCAAACATAAAGAAATTATAAGGCAGTTGCACAAATGTAGAGGGCATATCAGTGTCAGCTGCAGATAAAGGATGCTCTGAAAGAGACTGGAGGGAGCAGAGGTTAAATGCAATATTCCTACTAATTCCTAGGTGCGGTGGGGTGTCAAAAGGCCCCTTGAACCTGGACAAGTTGGAGCAGGTTAGAAGCTGCTCTAACATTCAGCCGAGGTTAATGCAGGAAATATCAGTCAGCATCACCTTTACTTTCCCACCCCAGTTGCATCAAGCCTCGGTGCAGTCACAGCTGAGGACTGTAGCTGGTGTTCAAACATTGCTCTCTGTGTACAGCCCCACGCCACAACTTTCCTCTGGAATTCTTTCTAGTAAAAGTGTGCATAAAGAGAGGTCAGTATAAAAAGCATCATGTTGTTCTCTACATAAACCCACATACTTTTTTTGTTGTTGAGAGCTAGCAAATTACCTTATTACAAATGTAGGCAGAGCAAAGACAATAAAATAGTGTACAGGAAAATTTCTAAAACAGAATAATGGCAGGAAAAAAGATTGGTAAAGTGTTCTAATAAATGAGTTCCACAGATGTGGTAGTTATTATAAAATTAGCTTTGCATAACTTACCGATATACCATTACATCTTCCCCCAGATGTTATCTGTTACTTAAATTAATTGTGCTTAAGTTACTATTATTTCAGATTTTATCCACACTGTATTTTATTATTTAAGTTTCTGTGGCATAAAACAAGCCCTGGCTGATAGCATTACTTTTAATAATATATGTAAGAGGTTTTAGTATTACACAAATGGCTGCTGGGTATATCTTAATAGTCACAGCACAGAACGTCTGCTCTCAAAATATTATGTAGATTAAAAGCAGCTATTTACTTACACTCTAATTCAAGCCATTGGAAAGGTTTGCAGTATTTATGTATATGGTATGAAGGGAAACGGCCTACTCGGGGAATAAATATCAGAGTTTGGAAATGAGCAAAACTAAGGTCAAGGTCAGTTTGGATTTACTAACATACTAGCTGAAAATTAGAATTTATAGTTTATGCTTATTTATTTCATAAATGAGAAAAGAGACAGAGGGGGTGGTGTATTTGTCTCTGATGCATGGCTTTTGTATCACAGAAACATTTTAAAACCACCTTTTCAGCTTAATATTATCTGAAGGTCTGTACTCCTCTCCACAGAGTCTTAACATAAATTCTCTGTAGCTAATCTTGTCAAACAGAGAAAAATAATTATTTATAAGGATTGGAAAAAATATCCCACGTTCAGCATTGACTATTCCTAAAGCCTTGTAACATCTTTCAAAGCCTTTCAATAGCCTTTCAATGGATATGGATTTGATTTTATACGAATGACAGATGCATTTAAAAAGGGTGTTCTTTGTGTGCTATTCTCTATATTCATATCATCTGTGTAGTTTCTAACCGTATGCCTTAGGACCTTATGCTATCAGAGACCTGCACAGACTTCTCTCTTACATGTGATGATATGTGAGGTTTGCTATGAAGCAAAATATTTAATAGAGGATCTACACTAGTTTGCCATTCATGCTAAGCATGCCCAGCTGCACACCTACAAATGCGCTGAATTTCACTTGCTGGAATAAAAGGCATTTACAAGCTATGGTTTGTTAGCTGCCTGTATTTCATGTCATTGAATTTGAATGAGTAACTAATGGACAGAGACGCACTGTCTCACACTGACTCAAACCAGCCTGCCTTTGTTTTTTTTCTCCCCCCTCTTTAACCTGCCAGCGTATGCAAACACAACAAATCCACCCTGCTTGCCTTCTGAGGCATCGCCCATCAGTGTTCTCACAGGTGAGGAAGTTTCTGGGAGGTTGCCGCTAGCTCTACAAATACATTTGCCATCCTGTTTTGCAGCAATACTATACACAAGGTCCAAAGGATTGAAGGATATTATGAAGCACTCAGAAACTTAATCCAGACACACGATCTGTGCAGTGTGACTAAGATGGCAGAGCTTCCTTCTGAACACCTTCACTGTACACATTCATATTAATATTTAAAGTAGAATTAAGATCGATGAGGGACTAAGCTTGGCCTCTGAAGTATGTTTCCCAGTTTCTAACGATGCACATGGAAATTCCGTGAGCATATTTCTGGGCAGGAGTTTTCAAACCACTATTCCTTAAAGGAGACTAAAGTTCAGCAAGTCAAAAGTATATCTTATGCTCTTTTTCCTGCATTTCAGAATTCAAGATAATACATTTTAAAGAGAGTTTTCCACGTTTTAGAGCTGAGATGTGAATCAACGTTGTTGACAATACATCAGTAATTAACCTAGTCCAAAATAGCTATCTGAAGCAATTTGGT